TCATCACTGCTATTCAAAAGCTCTATTAACACAAAATGAAGAAATAGTAATCAACACCTTGCACAGGTCTCCACCACTTACATAAATTTTGCTGCAGCTCTGCTCCAGGGGGCCTGCCATGTGCGGGGCACCCAAGAGCAGAGAAGAAAGGGAAAGGTAGTGTGGTGCTCTGCAGTGAAGGAACATGCAAAGATGCAATGTGGGCCACCTGGCAGCCTTCCCTGCTGGGCTCAGAGGCAAACTAAGTTTGTAAGAAACCATAGGAAGATGGCTCCTTCCCATTCGAATTGTTATACTGCCCACAGAGACAAGGCACCCCTGGAAACAAAAGGCTGCTGCAGCAAACCACAGGAGACCTCGCTGAACATGGGGGAGTGGGAGGAACATGTGCCCAGGACAGCAACTCATAGAATGTACCAGAGTCAGGAAGGTCTTGAGTTCAAATCCTATCTCTGCCATTAGCTAGCTCTCTGCTTGCTGCAGGTAGCAGGTTGTCTCTGAGTCTTCATTTCCTTTCTGACAAAATGTGACTGATAATATACCTGCCTCTGAGGGTTGCCATGACGATTAAATGAGATAATATGTGTAAAGCATTTATCATAGCAATTGGTGCAGGCTAGGGACTCATGGTGGGAGCTGCTGTCAAATAATCTAAACTCTACTGCTCTAAGCAATGACTGAAAAAGAAAGAACAATAACATTCATGTTCCATTTTTCAGAAACTCTTTATTTTCAAAAATAAGAAAGTAACTTTTAGGGATTCATAGACCTAGATATAGCCTTTGGAACTCCCTGGTCAAATTTCCTCATCTTAATGATGGAAAAATTGGAGAGAGAAATGAAAAGACTATTGTGGTTTGGATGCACATGGACCCAAAAAAGGTTTTAATTAAGGGAAGCTATTCATCATTTTTATGTACGACAAGATGAAAGTGGAGTTAGAAAACAACAGTTCATAATTGTAAAATGTGTGTGTGTGTGTGTGTGTGTAATAGGAATAATAAAGCTGCTCTGAGAAGATGTCTAGCAAAGTTACCCTTAGAGTTCTGTGAACTTGAATAACCCACATCACCCAAATTTACCCACTTGTAAAGTAAACCCATCTAGTAGAGTTGTATTACTTGTTGTAATTATATTATGAGTCACCTGGACTAGGCTATGATTCCCAGTGGGTTGGCCAAACACTAGTCTAATTTGTTGTCATGGTGTAGCTACATGTGATTAAATCATTTGGTCTTAGGAACAACAGATAGCCACCTGTAATGTAATGCAATGCAGTGTAATCATTTTTATAGTATAATCTAATTTAATGAGATCAATAATCTTTCTCACCACTCATCTGTCAGTTTGTCCTACTGTGCTGGCTTGTATGTTGTTGTGAGGCTGCAAGCTATACCACCAGTATTTCAAATACCAGCAGGGTCACTCATAGTGGACAGGTTTCAGCTGAGCTTCCAGGCAAAGACTGGGAAGAGGGATAGGGCCATCCACTTCAGAAAAAACTGGCCACTGAACACCTTATGAACAGCAGGAAAATGCTGTCTGATATATTGCTGGAAAACGTCATCAACAGGAGTGAAACAATGTCTGATATAGTGCCCAAAGACAAGCTGTTCAGGTTGGAAGGCACTCATAATACAACTGGGGAAGAAGAGCTGCTTCCCTAAAGTAGTGTTGACCTTAAAGACATGGATAGAGTAAAGCTTTTGAGACCTTCATTTGCTGATGGGGCAAATGGGTCAAAATGGGAAGAAACGGCTGCAAACATTCATTAATAATCAAAACATGGAATGTACGAAGTATGAATCTTGGAAAATTGGAAGTTGTCAACAATGAAATGGAATGGATAAAGATTGATATCCTAGGCATGTGTAAGCTGAAATGCACTGGAATTGCCCATTTTGAATCAGACAATCATATGGTTCACTATTCCAGGAATGAAAAACTGAAGAGCAATGGTGTTGCATTCATTGTCAAAAAGAACATCTCAAGATCTATCCTGAAGTCCAATGCTGTCAGTGATAGGATGATATCCATACATCTACAAGGAAGACCAGTTAATACTACTATTATTCAAATTGACACACCAACTACTGAAGCCAAAGATGAAGAAATGGAAGATTTTTATGAACTTTTGCAGTCTGAACTTGACCAAACATGCAATCAGGATGTATTGGTAATTACTGGTGACTGGAATGCAAAAGTTTCAAACAAAAAAGAATCATTGGTAGTTGGAAAATACGGCCTTGGAGACAGAAATGTTGCCAGAGATTGCACGATAGAATTCTGCAAGACCAATGACTTATTCATTGCAAATACTTTTTGCAACAACATAAACTGCGCTATACGTGTGGACTCCACAAGATGGAATTCACAGAAATCAGATCAACTACATCTGTGAAAAGAGGCAAAGGAGAAGCTCAATATCATTGGTTGAAATAAGGCCAGGAGCTGACTGTGGAACAGACCATCAATTGCTTATATGCAGGTTCAAGTTGAAGCTGAAGACAATTAAAATAAGTCCATGGGAGCCAAAACATGACCTTTATTATATCCCACCTGAATTTGGAGACCATCTGAAGAATAGATTTGAGGTAGTAAACACTGATGACCAAAGACCAGATGAGTTGTGGGATGACATCAAGAAAGCAAATGGTCATTGAAAGGACAGGAAAAGAAGAAAAGATGAAAATGGATGCAGAAAAGACTCTGAAACTTTTTTTTAATGGAGAGTAGCTAAAGCAAATGGAAGAAATGATAAAAGAGCTGAACAGATTTCAAAGAGTAGCTCTAGAAGACAAAATAAATTATCATAAATGAAATGTACAAAGGCTTAGAGATAGAAAACCAAAAGGGAAAAATATGCTTGCTATTTCTCAAGCTGAAAGAACTGAAGAAAATTTCAAGCCTCGAGTTGCAATAATGAAGGATTCTGTGGCCAAACTATTGAATGATGCAAGAAGCATCACAAGAAGATGGAAGGAATATACAGAGTCACTGCACCAAAAAGAACTGGTCAATGTTCAACTATTTCAAGAGGTGGCATATGATCAAGAACCAACAGTACTGCAGAAGGAAGCCCAAGCTGCACTGAAAGAATTGTTGAAAAACAAAGCTCTAGGAATTGACAGAATACCCACTAACATGTTTCAACAAACAGATGCTGTGCTGGAGGCACTTACTTGTCTATGCCAAGAAATTTGGAAGATAACTACCTGGCCAAATGACTGGAAGAGATCAATATTCACACCCATTCCAAAGAAAGCTGACCCCACAGTATGTGGAAATCATCGAACAACATCATTAATATCACACACAAGTAAAATTTTGCTGAAGATATTTCAAAAACGGTTGTAGCAGTGTATTGAGAGGGAGCTTCCAGAAATCCAATATGTATTCAGAAGGTGATGTGGAATGAGGGATATTGTTGCTGATGTCAGGTGAATCTTGGCTGAAAGCAAAGAATACCAGAAAGATGTTCACTTGTACTTTATTGACTATGCAAAGGCATTTGACTGCATGGATGATAACAAATTATGGATAACATTGCAAAGAATGGAAATCCCAGAACACTTAATTATGCTCATGAGAAAGCTGTACATAGAACAAAAGGCTGTCATTCAAATAGAACAAAGAGATATTGCACAGTTTAAACCAGGAAGGGTGTACATCGGGGTTGTATCCTTTCACCATACTTATTTAATCTGTATGTTGATCAAATAATCTAAGAAGCTGGACAACATGAAGAAAAACATGGCATCAGGATTGGAGGAAGACTAATGAACAATCTGCAATATGCAATGACACAATGTTGCTTGCTGAAAGTGAAGATGACTTGAAGCACTTATGGATGAAGATCAAAAACTGCAGTCTCAGTATGGATTACATCTCAACATAAAGAAAACAAAAATCCATACCACTAGGTCAAAAAGCAACAGCATGATATGGAGAAAAGATTGAAGTTGTCAGAGATTTCATTTTACTTTGATGCCCAGTCAACACCTATGCAAGCAGAAGTCAAGACATCAGACATCATATTGCACTTTGAAAATCTTCTGCAAAAGCCCTCTTTAAAGTGTTAAGAAGTAAACATGTTACTCTGAACACGAGGGTGGGCATGACCAAAGCTATGGTATTTTAATAGCCTCATATGCATGTGAAAGCTGGATAAGGAAGACTGAGGAAGAGTTAATGCCTTTGAATTGTGGTGTTGCCAAAGGATACTGAAAATACCATGGACTGCCCAAAGAACAAACAAATCTGGCCTGCAAGAAGTGTAGCCGGAATGTTCCTTGGAAACAAGAATGGTCAGACTTCGTCTTACTTACTTTGGTCATGTTGTCAGAAGGGACCATTCTCTAGGAAAGCACATCATGCTTGGTAAAGTAGAGGGTCAGCAAATAAGGAGAAGACCCACAATGAGATGGATTGACATGGTGGCTGTGATGATGGGCTCAGGCATAGCAAGGACTGTGAGGATGGCAGAGGACCGGGCAGTGTTTTGTTCTGTTGTACACAGGGTTGCTATGGGTTGGATCCAAGTGCATGGCACCTAACAACAACAATCACCTTCCACAGTGCAACCTAATGTAATCAATTCATCAGTTGAGGTCCTAACAGTTCAGGGTGGGTTGTCAATCCAATCACTTCCCTGTTACAAGACCAGAACAGACACAAAAACAGAGAGAGGGAGACAAATCACATGTGAGGATAGTCCACAAGCAAAGGAATGCCAAGAATTACTAGTGGACCAGAATCTAGGAGAGAGGCTCAAAGAAGGCAGTAACATTGCTGAGACCCTAATTTGGACTTTTAGCCTCCAGAAGAGTGAGGAAATAAATTTCTGTTTTCTAAAGCCATTCACCTGTGACATTTTTGTTATAACAGTTGTAGGTAACTAAGACAGTTATATTAGGACTTTATTATGTAAATCATGGTTTTCTAAATATACTGGTGATTATAAAGGAAGTTCTTACCCTAAGCAACAGCCAGCCACTCACCTGTCCAGCAGCAAGTTAGGAGCAAATAGGAGCTTCCCTGGGTGTTCCATTGAGCGCCAGACGAGGCCAATCATCAATATCTCTAGCCAGGCACATTCCAGCAGGTGGACCTGATCATGGAGAGTCAAATCCACGAAGCCTGAAACAAGGTAAGGGACATCTCACTGATTTTAAATGAAAAGCATCCATTATTGTTGAAATTAGCACAAGCAAGGATTTGAGCTGGTAGGGTCTATGTTCTATAAGATGGAATAAAGTGTAACCATAGCACACTTTATGGGGAAGTCAAATGACTTTTTTTTTTTTTTTCTCAAACAGCTATGTTGTTGTTGTTGTTAGGTGCCATTGAGTTGGCTCCGACTCATAGCAACCCTACATACAACAGAACGACACACTACCTGGTCCTGCGCCAGCCTCACAATCCTTCCTATATCTGAGCCCACTGTGGCAGCCACTGTATCAATCCATCTCATCGAGGGCCTTCCCCTTTTTCACTGACCCTCCACTTTACCAAGCATATACCAAACAGCTATGTCAATGAATATTAATATAGCATTAAGTCTCTTATACCATTCATGTCACATCTACAGACAATACACTAATGTATGCAATCCAGTTAGTTTTTTCAAATATTAGTATAGCATTAAGTCTCTTATACCCTTCATGTCACATCTACAGACAATACACTAATGTATGCAATCCAGTTAGTTTTTTCTAAGTTCTTTACTTAGAACTTTCGAAGTTAAAGCTTATATGCTTTCTACTGGTAGAGAATCAGTGAAAATGAGGGAAACCCTCAATGAGATGGATTGACACCATAGTCATAACGATGGACTCAAACGTACCAATGGTCTTGAAGATGGAGCAAGACTGACCTTCCGTTCTGTGATACATCAGGTTGCCATGAGTCAGAGTGGACTGAACCACTATCAACAACGATCACCCTATGTGAGTATTACTATAGTAAGGATTGCAATCAAGGTCACCAAACAAAATGTATATGAAGCATTGACTGGAAAACCAATTTGCCTTGTTAACTTTTACCCAAATCACAAAGAAAAAAAGAATGGTATGAATGGTCATATGTAGGTGTAGGTTTAATTTATTTTATGAAACTGACAAACTGTCTTCAAAAGTACCATTATATGGGCCTATAAGTTCATGTGAATGATCAGAATTCCCAGGTGTATAGTAGAGCTGACAAGGGGCAAGGTTATGGTCATTACTTGGTCACAGCCAGCTACCCAGAGGGACCGAGTAGTTGATCCTGCGGGCTTGGGACCATAGTCGCAGGGGACATCAAGCTCAATTGGCATAACATACTATACAAAACATTGTTCCACCTACTACTTTGGCGAGTAGCGACTGGGACCTTAAAAGCTAGGAAGCTGCCATATAGATGCAACAACGGGTCTCTCCTCGTCAAGAAGAAAGAAGAAAACCAAAATTAATGGAAACAATCAGTCCTAGCAACTGGTACACCATCCGATCTGCAACCTATACAACTATGAGACCAGAAGAACTAGATGGTGCCCAGCTACCACTGCCATCCACTTGGAAGGGATGTAGGAGATCCTTCATAAAGAGGGAGAACAATGTGGTACAAAACTCAAAATCATTTGGAAGCAAAAAAAAAAAAAAAGAAGGTGGGGACCAGGTTTGCTGGTCCAATGGAGCCTGGTGTAACCACTGAGACTATGGCCCCTCGCTGCCCTTCAGGTCTGGAATTGAACCCACAACTGTGGTTTCCAGCCAAACAAAGTACAGGCAAGGGAGTTAAACATTTACCTCAAGTAGACACATGCCCTGGAGAGAACAATCATGGGAGAAGGAAGGGCTGCTTATGCACAGGGAGATAGCTCAGGGTGCAGAAGAGTATGAAGGGATGGACACTGGGAGGAGGTAACTATGGGGAGGAAGTGGGAGGGGAGCTGCTGCATTGTAAATTTTGGTCAATGACATGAGACAAAGTATATGTGAACTGCTGTATGAAAAGTGAATTTACTCTGTAAATCTTCACCCAAATCCTAAAAAAAAAAAAAAAAAGTATCATTATATTCCCACCAGCAACAGATGAAACTTTCAGTTGCTCCACAGCCTCGTCAATGCTTGACATGGTGAGTCTTCTTAATTTTGACATTCTAATAGCTGTTTATGGAGCCCAAGTAATGCAGTTTTAAAATCTCAGTGGCTCACCAAAAAGTCAGTGGTTCAAACCCACCAGCCATTCCATAGGAGAAAGATGAGACAGTCTGCTTCCACAGGCTACTCTGTCCTATAGGGTTGTTATGAGTCAGGATTGACTCAAAGGCAGTGGGTTTGGCTGTTTGGTTAATAGTGATTTTCCCAATGACTGATGGTTGAGTATCTTATTATTTGTTTCTCATAGATCGTTTTGTCACACTGCATTCGAGTTAATTATGCGTATCTCTGCAGATTGTTCTAGCATCCCTACTTGCTGTTGTTAGCTGCTGTAAAGTGGGTTCCGACTCACGGTGATCCCCACATACAACAGAATGAAATGCTGTCTTGCCCTGTGTCATTGTCAGGATTGGTTGCAGATCAGACCTTTGTGACCCCTAGGGTTTTCAGTGGCTGATTTTCAGAAGTAGATCACCAGGTCTGGAAGCTCTGCTGAAACCTGTTCAGCTTCACAACATGGGAGCCACCCCTGGCAGATGGATGCTGGTGAACTTGAAGTTCATTGGCTAGGAAATGCACCTGGTTCTCCCACATGGCAGGTGAGGATTCCACCACCAAACCACTGATGTCCTCACACAAAATTCATGATTGGTGTTCTGAAGTCCAAATGTAGGGAATCACCCATTACATTCCTTGGCCATGCCAAAGCCCCCAAAGGTGCAGCCTTTATCATCAGAGCAAGGTTCTTCCCATTGAAAAAGGTAAGTTTTGCTCACATGGGGGGAAAAAAAATATGCATGGCTTACTTGATCTAATGTTGCTATAACAGAAATACCACAAGTGGGTGGCTTTAACAAACATAAATTTATTTTCTCACAGCTTGTTGTTGGTAGGTGCTGTTGAGTCTGTTTCAACTCACAGTGATGCTATGCAAACAGAATGGAACACTGCCTGTGCCGTCCTCACAAGCATTGCTGTGTTTGAGCCCATTGTTACAGCCACTGTGTCACAGTTTAGAAGGCTTGTTGTTGTTATGTGCCGTCAAGTCGGACCCGACTTATAGCGCCCCTCCTTGGGTTTCCGAGGCAGTATCACTATGGAAGTAGATTGCCTAACCTTCCTTCCGAGGAGTGGCTGGTGGGTTTGAACCGTCAGCCTTCTGGTTAGCAGTCAAGTCCCTTAGGCACTATGCTACCAGAGCTCCTAGAAGTCTGAATTTATGGCACCAGCTCTAGGGGTAGGTGCTTTCTCTCTGTCAGCTTCTCTCCTTTCACTTCTGTTTCTTGGTTCCTCCTCATGTGGAGGTATCTTCCTCTCATTTTATGTGGCCTTCTGTGTGCCTAATCTGCTTTCTTTATATCTCAAAGGTGATTGACTCAAGCTACACCCTACACAGATATGGTCTCATTCATATAACAAAGCCCAATGCCCACAGGAAGAGGGGTTTAGAGTTTATAACATATATTTTTGGGAGGACACATTTAATTCATAAGAATGGACTGTTTTATTCCTAAGAAAAACTGAAGGATCACAAACCTATGATTTGGTAGGAGGAAGGAATAAGTGCACAGCCATTTGCCTACAGAATGTATGGGGTCCGAATGGACTAGCCTTGCTCTAAGAGAAATACTACCTAAGGCAAGAAACACTTCCCTTTCTCAGTCCCCAGGGTCTAATGGGATGAGCCAACCCCAGTGAGAAGTACTTGAAAGCAAAGCTCTCAAGGAAGTGTTAGTTGTCTAGAATTTCACTCTAAAATTTTAAGCAAACTCTCCAAAGAGGAATATCAATTCACACAAAGAAAGTGTAAGTTAAGAAAGTGACTTAAGCTCACTTTCAGAAATATTAGTACTCAAAGTTCAGAGAAGTACTCTCTTCTCCGAACGTTCACTGTTTTATGCGGGGTGGTGGTAGTGGTGGAGAAATCATTTGATATCATCACTGAGATGAAGCCTACCAGATTAACCAATACCCAACAAAAACTCCAAAATATGACACAGGATAGGACTGGGGGTGCCCTGAAGAGCTCTTAGTGGTTTGGCCATGAAACAACTACAGTCAGCCATGCAACCAATTAATTGTGGAAACCATAGGAGCACTTTCTGGTGGCAACTTTATGTATTCCACTGAATCATGCTTTTAAAATCTCAGTTCAAGATTCCAGTGCTGACCACTGACAGTTTTAGTGGTCTTTTGGGAGCCTAAGGAGCTCACCATAGCCATTTATACCCCACAAGTACGGTGATTATGAAAATCTGTCTGATGTCTATCTGTTAGTAATTGTTTTCAGTCTGAGTTTAGCAGTATTGCTGAGTTTTTCTGTTGACGGGTTGTAGGTCTCTCAAAAAGAAATAGCCTATTTAATCATCTTTCCCAGCTGTGCACATTATCTGCAGACAAGGGTTATTGTATCCATTGCACAGTAAGTGTCTTTTGCAACTTCCCTCGGCAAGGTTGGAGACAATGTTGAGAGCTGTCACAACCTTCTTAGTGAACAGGAAGACTACCAAAGGCACTATAGATGGTGCATGGCCTTTTCACAATGTACTAATCTCAACATTCTTTTAACCACAAAGGAAATAAAACCCTATTGGTAAGAGAACCTACAGATTGGGAAAAAATATTTGGTCATAACATATCTGA